TTGGGTCGTTAAATCATTAACAGTCAGATCAAAACGACGTTGTTTTGAAAGGTGTCTACGTCAACAGTCGTCAACCACGTCGAAGGCCGTTGGCCATATCATCGAGCCTTGAACTATTTAACAAATCAATGGTATAATTGAAACTAAAATCAAAGTTCAGTGCTATAATTGACAAAATTAAAAGTTCAATGGTATAATAATACAGTAGTATCTAATGTAGTTTACCCTTATATATATAAGGTACTACACTCTTCCAAATGTATTTTTTCATTATATTATGATTAATATTCACTTTATATTAGTACCATCAAATGGTCTTAGTGATTACAAAATATTATTTTCTTTAAAATTTTATGTTCAAACAAATGCGTTCGCAGAATATGTATTGGCAATAATTTTAAAAAAAAATCTTGATCAACGGATGGATAGGAAACAAAAAATTTGATTGGTTTGACCTTTAATCTATTTTTTAATATTATTTTATAAACTGTTGTGTCCAATATATATTAGGACAAAAATATAAAAATATAATCTTTATGGACAAAAAACTAAAAAAAAATTGATCATTTTAACCTTCAATCTTTTAAGATTTGTGTCCAACATTTATTAAAACATAAATATAAAATATAATATTTCAAATATATAATTTGTCTTTAAAAGAAAACTTGGTAATTTTCCCAATAAATCACCGATGATCGGTATATTTACCGATCTAACACCGGTTAGATTATATTTCCCGATCTAACACTCGTAGCAGTAAAGCACGCCCCCTGAACCGCGCTATACGCTGATTTGGCGCCACGTGGGTATATCGTGCCCCCTGCCCCACGACATACGGTGATTTGGCGCCACGTGGGTATAGCGCGCCCCCTGATCCGCACTATACCTGCGTATCTGACACGTGGGGTATAACGCGGTGCAGGGGCACGCTATACCCCTAAATACCCGGCCCCTCACATCCCAATCCTCCCTATAAATACCCCATCCTCAATCACTTTTATCACACTAAATTCTCTCAAATTCTCTAAATTTCTCTCAAATACTCTCTTTTTAAGGTATATTTTATAATATTTTTACTATTATGTATTTACTTTATTTAATATTTTACTAATATAATTCTTTTGCAGATATATAATGGAAGGCAGTCTACTTCGCTCGGATGGAAATCATATATCTCTACACTTTGTTGATACGGTAACATTTTAACGTTTTAATTTAATTTAAATTATTAGTAATATTTAGTTGATTTATTTAATGCATGATTATTAGATTAAGAATTAAATATCTCGATATTTTGCTGATACGGTAATATTTTAACGTTTTAATTTAATTTAAATTATTAGTAATAATTAGTTGATATATTTAATGCATGATTATTAGATTAAGAATTAAATATCTCGACACTTTGTTGATACGGTAACTCCAAAAAACCCGGTAGAATTTGCATCGATCGCGAAGAACTCGATCATTATGGTATGCATAGGAGGTTTTGAAGTCCACAATTGTCCTAGGATTCAATGTCCGCACCAGCCTAAACCAACCTTGAAGTTCGTTATAAGATGCATCTCATTTGCTATGAAGTTTGACAATGGCATTTTGTTTTGCCAACCAAGCTTTTTTATAGGAGACGGTGTACACATACTGCGATTGTATAGCTGAAATCAACACTGCAACAGCTATATGAGAGCTTGCTTTTACCATGGGCATGATGGCTTGCATATCACTTCAGAGTCCAAGTTAAGATGATCTTGGTTGACCCATCCAGCACAACATGTGTGAGGACTGTTGTATACTGTTAGTTCCCATATGGTGTTTTTCCTCTTCATTTTCGATACGCAAACCATCCAATTGCATCCGTTTTCGCGTCGGGCACAGTAGCATACATATTTTTCGGTCGTCGATCGGTTGACTCTAGATTGAACAGAATTATGGATATTGTAATTTTTGATAGCCATCATCGCTTCTTCTTTGCTTGAAAACTCCATGTCTAAAGATAACTCACCATTATTTATTGATAAGTAATATCCATAGTCACCGAGATGAGGCATATTCGCAAATTCTGACTCGTACATTGCACAATAATCAGCTTCATACATGTGTGCAGGAGGGTTAGTTTGTGCCACATTTCCTGGAACTTCATCATCATCGGAGTTGAATTACGGTGATTCTGGGTGAATGAATAGTTTAGTCTCAGCAACATCCGCACCAGGCTCACGAAGCGGTTCTTCTAGTGGAGATGATGGTTCCTCCATGCTCTCCACATTTAGGTCGAAGAACCTACTACTTGCACGCCTTCCCCTTGAACTGGAAGGCATATCGACATTGAGATCGAAAAAGCTCGCAGTCGAATGCCTCCCACTGGAGCTTGAAGTCATCGTGTCAAATGGAAACTGCACAGATGGTTGTGTCGATGGCATCTCCATATGGTCAAAGAAATTTGCAGATGAATGCCTTCCCCTTGAACTGGACGCGGTGTTGCCATACAGATTGTTCGTGGACCCACTTCGGTATATATCGTAAAGAGTTGCGGATGAATGTCTCTCCATTATGGCATTAAAATCATTACACATTACTGTAGTCGGGCTGTCAACTTGATCAACTTGTTCAGCCAGCCCATAGTGTGAGCTTAAAGATTGACCACGAACAGCACGCACTTGAACAAAATGTGCATACATCTCAATAGCGGCGTCTGAATAATTACTTTGAGCTTCAACCATCATTTGAACATCATCATTGTTCGAAAGTTCGAACGTTGTATAAGTTAATGGCAACAATGATGTTGAAAATCTGTACTGCAACGACGACATTCTTCTATTACTTCCAACATGAATCTTCCTCGAAATCTTTGTTATCAGCTCCTCAAGAGTTATGTTTCTCTTGAATGATATTTTAACACGCTCATTTGATACGAAAAAACGTCGGTTTCATCTTCTCGAATTTCACCATCATAATAAACAATAGCTGAAAGTCACGACATTCTTTGAGTTTAAAAGTGCGGTAATATTATATCTGCAAAAAAAATAACTTAAACAAACCTGATTAAATAAATTATATATAAACGAAAATATAACACAAATTTTTTTTACACATCAACGTAAATAATTTAAATAATATAATTTTATATTATTACCTGCACCGCAAAACTATTTCGTCGTATGCTCCCGCTTTTCAATTTTACAAACATAAAAATTAATTGAAAATAATTAATATAATATTTTTTTCAAATAATTAGTATAATATTTTTTCAAATAATTAGTATAATATTTTTTCAAATAATGATAATAAACAATAAGTATAATTAAAAAATTATAACAAAATTATCTTATAACGAAAAATCGCACGAACTTCTAAATTAAATATGAGAAGATTGCCAGAATTATTACTCGTTGACGGAATTGTTGTATTAATTTATAAGAGAGGAGAGATGCAGGAGATGTGAGGAGAGATGTGATATTTATAAACATATAAGGCGCGGTACCGGCACCGCGTTATATGTAATTATTATATAACGCAGATCAGGGAACGCATTAAATATAATTTTGGTACGGCATATAGCGCGGCCCCTGATCCGTGCTATACCCCTACGTGGCATATAGCGCGGAGCAGGGGGCGCTATACCCCACGTGTAACTCAATCAACGTATAGCGCGGTACAGGGGACGTATTATACTCCACGTGACGTCAAATCAACATATAGCGCAGTTCAGGGGGCACGCTTTACTACTACGAGTGTTAGATCAGGAAATATAATCTGACCGGTATTAGATCGGTAAATATACCTATCACCGGTGATTTTTGGGGAAAATCGCTAGAAAACTTATCTCAAATATATATACTATTATGAAGTTTGAGACATCACTAGCAATCACTGATGATTAACTTGTTACTTTAATATTTGATTAACTGAAAGCCAGGCATTGTAGAGAAAAAGATATTATGTTGACAATATTTACGTACATACAAAATATTTTATGTTAGATAATAAATTTTAGGATAAATTATGTATTTAGTAACTAAACTATTAATTTTGATTTGCTTTAGTGCCTAAACTTTTAATTTTTTCAAAATCATACTTAAAATTTACCTTTTTATTTCATTTTAATACCCGTCGTTAAAATTTTAACGTGTTTAGTATCTAAACTATCAGTTTTAATCCGTTTTAGTACCTAAATTTTCAAAACAAATCAAAACTTAAGTATGATTTAGGTACTAACGTGTTTTGGTACCTAGATTTTCAAAAAAAATCAACGAAATATGAAAATGAATTAAAAACTAAACTTTAAGTACGGTTTTGAAAAAATTAAAAATTTTTAGAACTAAAACAGTTAAAAATTATATTTAAGTACTAAATACGTATTTAATAATTCATCCCTTTGGACAGAGTCCCAATCGTACAAGGACGGTCGTTGACCGATAAATTTATGTGAAAATTTGGAGGAAAAGGAACCTTTATTTTCCTTCTATACTGAATATGCTTAATTCTTTAGGGAAAAAAGAGTTCATTTTTATATGGGTAAATTATACATTTAGTACTTAAACTATCAATTTTGACTTGTTTTAATATCTAAACTTTCAATTTTTTCAAAACCATACCTAAAGTTTACTTTTTGTTTCATTTTAATACCCGTCATTAAAAACTTAACGCAGTTAGTATCTAAACTATCAATTTTGATCCGTTTTAGTACCTAAAGTTTCATTTTTTTCAAAACTTAAGCATGATTTAGGTACTAAACGTGTTTTGGTACCTAGACTTTCACTTTTTTCAAACCTTAACGACGGGATACTAAAATGAAACAAAAAATTAAACTTTAGGTACAATTTAAAAAAATTGAAAGTTTAAGTACTAAAACGGATCAAAACTAATAGTTTTGTACTAAATGCATAGTTTGCCATTTTTCGTATTGAGGAATTAGGATAGATGGTTTATTGATATTAAAGTGGATATGATCCTTCTTAGCTGTCATGAAAGCAAAAGAATTTATATTGTTTTAGAGTCTTGTCTACTTTAGTTCGTATAGTATATTTCTAGAGTATGATACAGAGTACATGAACATTTCTTGAAATTCATAATGTTAAACATTCTAGCACAGTCAATATCACAATGGGGCCAAAATTGAGGATCTACTTATACGAAAGCTTCCATACCTCTCGTAAATTAGAGGAACCATCAGCAACTTCAGTAACAAGAGTTGCAGCCATAACACCTGCACGGCCAAAAACAGCCACTTAATCAGTATCTAGCATCCCCTATCATATACATGAACAGCATCAGGAAATGAATGAAATGCTGCGCTCGAAGCGCATCCTCCATGGAAATATGTTACCCCAAAACTTAACATACAATTTTTCCGTTAATAGACATGCATACCAGTAAATGACCAAAAACATTTTGGGGATTTATGGTCTAAGGTAGCGGGAAGAGGCCTAAAGGTTTGAAGGAATAGAACTTTAACTGAAAAAGTTTTGATTGAGGAAAAGTTCGCTAAAATTGAAAAAGTAACTAGCATGTTCTGGCAGCACCAATAATAAGGTTTTCATGATTGTTTGAGAAGATAGCCTGACCAAACATTCCTCCAAGACTCCACCAAGAACATGAAGAACTAGAAAACATACAATGATAAAGTTTAAGTCTATAAAATGATTAATAAAAGAAAATTCAACTCGTTTTGGAGTTGTTCCTTCACAGCAAAGAGAAACTTCAGATACTCCAATACCGAAGATTAAAGAACGTAAGAGGAGAAACTAATGAATCCGTCAACCATAAGTTCTCCAAGAACTCCACAAAAAAGGTCCATTCCAGTAAAATACAAAATTACCGAACTAATTCTTGAAACAATGACCTCAAAAACGAATTTTTCTAATGAATTAACAACAATGGAGACTCAGAGAACAATTACCCTTGAGCCAAAATGGCATCTTTGACGAACAGATGTCCTAGAATCTCTTTAATAATACATTTCCCATTAGAAAGGTCTTTGCAAGACACTCTAACCATGTTAACCACCTATAAACAGCATGAGAGATATACATAAAAGAAATAAAAAGGGAAACCTCCAGAATATCAGTTTTCCTATGTTCGAACTTACAAATGCATTTCTTTTTTTGAAAAACACATCTCTATCCAACAAGACATGAATATATTCCAGTTCTATTGGCATGATCAAAGATATAAAAGATCAGCTTACCTTCTTTCTCAAGCATAGAAAGAAATTGTCGTGTTCCCCCTCCTACACCGAAATAATGTTTCTTTCCAGCCATGTATACAACTCCATGTGGGTGGATCATGCACTGTAAATTAAGAATGCTTAAAGCTAAGGAACCTAAGAATTTACGATTAACAGAAATGGTAGAATTACTCGATAAAAAAATACCTTCTTTATAAGTCCATAGAGATTCCTTTGAGCAAAGATCGAGTAAATCGTCTCAGCCATTAGAATAACATCATAACCAGTAGCTTGACCGTGCTCTGAGTCAATTTCACTTTCATTCGCATGAGGAAGTAACTGATGAATCTCACTCCAGTCACCAGCAAAGAAGCGCGCTTTGGATGCGGTGTCGGGTTGAGACTTCTCCAAAAGATTTGCATTTACATTTGGGATGGTGAGACACTGGAGTACCTCAGCATTGAAGTCCTGAAAATGCACTTCAGCTGCACCCTAAAGACAGATAAAAAAGATAATGAATTTTTACCAAATACTCCCATCACAACATAGTTTAGTCAAGCATGCATGAATTTACCTCGAGAAATGCAAATATCCCAGGAAGTCCGTGGCCACATCCAAGCTGAAAAAAAATTAGATGAAACTCGCCAAACAGGACAAGCCAAGATATTATTGACATCTATCTAGATCTATATTCACAGATTCAATATTTCAGGTCATTATTATTAGGAAAAACAGCAATTTCTTCAACAGTCATATTGTCCCAGTGATAAAAGCCTAACCAGAAACCAAAGCTGAATATTATGTATGCTAGAAATAATAGAATGTCAATAATGTATTTCAAAAAAATCATATGCCGCTCTAGTCATATGTTAGTACACTTGCCACATTCAAACCATTGAGGGACATGAAGAAAAACTGTTATAAACCATAAGTCACACTGATTTATGCAGAAAATCATCATACATCAAAACCAGTAAACACATAAGTCAACTAATTGAGCTATTTGTGCGTCAAAAAAAGTTGGAAGTAAAAACCAATGACTTTGTGCAGGCTTGAATTATCATTTCACTTTGTTTTTTAAGAATATTCAGTAAACACATAGCAACATGGCATTTCACTGATCACTAGGGACCCTAATAATAACAGAAAAAATCTATCAAGTCAGTGAGGATGGCAAACAAGATTCCAGAACTGAAGCCAATATCTGGGAGTGCCATTTTTTAGTCATATACAATCAATTGGAATTAGGATCCCACCTCTAACACGCGTTTTCCCTTAAGTGATAGATGGTCATTTTGAATTTCGGACTGCAGAGCTTTAACAAGGTCTAATGAACCTTCCCATAGCTTCAGTCCCCCTATGCTCCCAAGAAAAACGGAAAAGGAAAAGCAATCATTACCACGGTTTTGCCATTTGAAAATATCCTCAAAATGCATTCATCATGAACAAGAAAATCAATGTGCAAGCTAAAATTGAAGTATAATAAAAAGATAAAAGAGGAATATGATTACAAACCTTCATAGATTCCAGGGACTAAATCAGAGTTAGGCAATCCAAGAACCTCGTTAGTACTCACCCTTCCCTAAAGGATATGGCAAACTTATAGTTCAGCATTTTCGAATTTATAAAATACTATCTATCTACAAGAGAACTTTGATCAATTTTATGGATTGTTATTCATTTCAAAAACTACCTCAACACAAGCTTCATTCTTTTGTTCTCTTTAATAAACAGAGGGTAAAAGGTTCACCTTGAGTAAAGTAAGGCCACCTAAATTGACAGGTTCCACAGTGTATTTCACAGAAGAAGAAATCTAATTCAATTACAAAATCAACCAATCAGAAAACGGTTACTCAAAAATCAAAGAAAAAAAGAAGTTTAGAAATGGGAACCTCCGAGGAAATGACTTCGGTGGAGGGAGGAGGAGGTGGCAGCGGCGGCTCCGTCGACTCCAAGAATCCTAAACCCAAACTAGGTTTAACGTCAGCAGATGAAAACAGTTGAAATTTTCCGTTGGTTGTCATTTGTTACCTTCTAATATGCACAGAGTTGCAGACCAACAACGGCGGCCGAACTGCGAAGACGAATACTTCTGTAATTCTTTTAGTGCGTGGGTTACTATGGTGCAGAGGAGTTCCTCGATATTGGACAATGGCCCATTACACTAAATCCGGAAATGAAATTAGGGTAAATTATATCTATCATCACTAAACTATCTTCTCAATCTTATTTTGGTCATTGAGCTTCAAAACATTAAATTTTTTAATTTCTCTTAATGTGAATTATTTTATTATTATATTTAATATAAATATAATTTAAAATAACAATAACAATTAAAATCTCTAAAATACCTAAATTCCAACCCCCAACCCTTTTTAGTTTCGATTTCAACCGACGATCGAAACTTTCTCTAGAATTAGTGTCTCCCCGTCTCTGGTGTCGATTTTTCTAACTTTCCTCATTTTGAAACTCGCCCTTGATTAATTATCCTCAGTCAAGCTTGAACTTTAATGGAGTTCCATTGTCATGGCTCGAATCGAATTTGGTTTCATTAAGCAAAGTTCTAGTGTAATGCACTTCTACTTCATCACTGTTGTTCATTGTCTCCAACCTTTCACATTCCTTAACCAGCTTCTTTTTCAACTCATTTCCCCCAAATCTATTACTTTTATTCTTTCGTGTTGTTCCCTTATGGGAACTCAAAAAATAGAATATGCTTTGGGTCTGTCGTAACCGTTTTTCGGTTGGGCCCCGAATTAGACTTCGACTTGAAATATGTGGATTGGAGTCGTCACCGACCATTTTAAAATGAATTTAGGTGGGTCGGATACCATTTGAAACATGATCTGCATTTTTACCATAAATGTGTCGGGGTTCGAGAGTCGGTTACGGTTAAGGAAGGATTAGCACCCTTGAACCGCCCTTTCGGTACCAATTAATTTGTCGGTTGTCTTAGTTGCGAAAATTTGAAATTTAAATTAAAATTTAATAGATCCGATTCAAATTACTTACAATTGATTGATTTGAATACCCTTAAAAGATAAAAATGTTAGATTCGTAGCGGAGTATAAAATCGAATTAGGATAGCAAGTGTGTAAACGTGAGAATAATAAATAAAACAAGAAAAAATGGAAAATAACAAAACACATAAAAAATAATAAAAAAACAAAATGAATAAAATGTTAAAAAACTAAGACACAGATAAAGGGAAAATTAATGGAGTAAAAAAATAAAAAATAAAGGTAAAAGAAATTAAAAATGAATAAAAATAATGTGTACATATAAAGTAGTATTTACTAAAACAAATAAAAATAATAAATATATAATACTAAGTAAAACAAATAAAAAATAAAGATATACATGATATTAAGAAAAAAATAATAGAAAAAATAAAATAAAGTAAAAATATAATATATGTATAAATAAAAAAATAGAATATTAAGAAAAAAATATATAAAAACGTACAAAATATAATATTATGAAAAAATATATACATAGTAAATGGAGAAAAATTAATACGTATATATATATATAATGATATAAGATATATATAATAAATATAATATATTATAAATAAAAAAAGGAATATAGTAAATAAAAAAATATAATTAAAAATATATATATAGGGGACGAAATTAATATAAAAGTAAAATTAAAGGGTAAATTTCAAGGTAAATTAAAGATTAAGATTGACTTAGGGGAATATTAAATACTTTAAAAAAATGAACATGCCTCGGGAGTAGATCTAGGTTCGAAAAATCGAAACCCCACCCCTTTTTTGTCATCGGCGTAACCCACGTTTTGGGTTATTCAAACGAAATCTCAAGAAAAATAACATGCACATGCGAGAAATGAACGAATCAATGTAAAAAAAATGCTACATTTTATTTCCTTTTCGAATCGTTTACAATAGCTTTACCTTTTTATTTTTTTCGTGCTTTCCTCTGTATCTTGTATGTAAATCGTGTGTTACAAATGGGGAGGATTACATGTATTTATAGTGAAAAAAACTAACTATTTTTAGAATCCTATTAACAATAGAATCCTAATGCAACTAGACTCCTTGCTCGGTTGCACGTTTATTGGTGTGGTTGTTGCTTTAAAAGATATGGTGGTGGAAGAGTCCTCCTAGGAGAAGAACTCTTGTTAGCTCTATCTTTTAAGAAAATTGGTGTCTACAGCTGTCCCTCTTTGTCCTTTTTCGTGGAATGAAAAATAGGACAAAGATAAAAAGACACAAATTTTCGTTCAATGGAGTTGAAGAATAATTCCCTATCGAATTGAGTTACGGATGGCTCCTCCGTCGCGAAGTCGAGTCAATCTTGAAATGATTTGAATCAGAATGTGGCTTCTCGTTGTAGTTCACTTTGGTCTTCTTCTCGGTTTAAAGACCTTGGCTAAAAAATCGACTGGAAAGTAATCTTTTGACTCCACAATGTGGTTGATATGCCCTCGAGCTGAATGAAACCGAACTCGAAAAGTCTTCGCTGACAGATAGCTTTTCTCGACTTAAGCTATGCTGACGGAAAAAAGGCTTCTTGCTACTAAGGCACGGCTAACCCAGATCTTCTTCTCGGTTTGAAAACCTCGATTGTCCGGACAATAGTATGATTGAGGTGTTATCGAGCTGAATAGAATCAAACTCGATAATTTTATTGACAGATAGCTCTTCTTGCCTTGAGTTATGCTGTAAATGATGTGCCTTGGAGCTGAGCGTAGTCGAACTCGAAGGTCTTTGTTGACATATAACCCTTCTTTGAGTTGGATATCCTTCGTCATGAAGTTGAAATCCAATCTAGAGATAGATGTTGTTTGTGTGCACGATTCCCTTCGTCGTGAAATTGAAACCGCTAGTGGCACCTTCATCGTGAAGTTGAGCCTGGTAATTGGATATCCTTCATCGTGAAGTTGAAATCCAAGTAGGTAGTATTGTTCCAAGTCCAATATCATCCGTCGTGAACTTGAAATTGGCTCTGGAAATTGTTTGTTGACAGTCAGCCGCCCCTTCGCTGTGAAGTTGAGCTTGTGTTGTCTCGAGTTCAATATCCTTCGCTGTGAAGTTGAAATTGACTCTGAATGAAACTGAAAAGTTGTTTGTTGACATCAGTCGTCCCTTCGTTGTGAAGATGAGCTTGTGTTGTCTTGAGTCCAATATCCCTTGCTGTGAAGTTGAAATTGGCTCTGAAACTGGGAAACCTCTTTGTCGTGAAGTTGAGCCTCAAATGGCATGATATCCTCCTTCGTGGAGTTAAAATTGTGGATGTGCGGGTACGATATCCTCCGTCGTGGAGATGAAATCGCGGATGACCCCTTCGTCATGAAGTTGAGCCTTGACTTGGATATCATTCGTCGTGAAGTTGAAATCCAAGTATTGCATGTTGCGGGTGACCACGATTCCCTTCGCCATGAGGTTGAAACCGTGGATGTCCCTTTTATTGTGAAGTTTGGCTTCGAGCTAGATATCCTCATTTGTGAGGTTGAAATCTACTCTCGAACCAATTGTGTCGCTTCGAGTTCAATATCCTTCGCCGCAAAGTTGATATTACTCTAGCTAAGACCTGTCTGGAATTTTGATTTTGGAATCTTGAAGTTTCGATCCCTGATCTTGAATTCTTCAAATGTTCAAATCTGATGTTTGTTTTTTATCCTTAATCTGGGAAATGCTTCTCGACCATCTCAAGTATATGCATGAGCCTTGATCGGCTTCCGAGTACATGTACTTTTCAATGAATCTTTGTACAGTAATATGCAAATATCTTTTGCATAAGTAAATAAATCATTAAGCTTAAGCTCAATCCAAGATGCTCAAAAGGAATTGGTTTGGAGAAAAAAAAGATTGTCTTTTATTCATGAGGAAAAAAAAAGAACAAATAACACATGGCAAATATTCTGGAAGATGAAGACATGATGAGGTGTAAATGAATGTCTTAGATTTCAATAATGTTGGCACTTTTGAGCTGAAAAGTCGTTAGTTGACCTTGAATACAACCTTTGCCAAATGATATTTGAGAGTACGATAACATTCAGGAGAGTGCAACATTTCTCCGACTCGTTGAGTCTGTGGAAAATTCAGATGCCGGGGAGTTTCAACTGTCTGGATTTCTTGAATTATCCAAATCGCCCTTTCAGGTTTTCAACTTGGACCCATCCTTGGTTGCAAGACTCCCTTTGCAGGTTTTCATCTTGAACCCACCTTATTTTTTGTTCTTTCTCTTTTTTGTTTTTTTTTTCTCTTTTTCAATTTTTTCAATTTAGGGCGCCCTTTCGGTTTTCACCCTAAACGTTTTTCATTTTTGTTTTTTTTTTTACTTAGGACTCCCTTTTGGGTTTTCATCCTAAGCAAAGTATTTCTTGACTGCATCCGAATTGATGGGATATGGCATTTCGGGTTCGTCAATTTCAGCCAGGACAACGGCTCCTCCTGAGAAGGCCTTTTTCATGACATAAGGTCCTTCCCAATTTGGTGTCCATTTTCCTCGGAAATCTTTCTAGACTGGCAAAATTCTCTTTAGCATCATATCTCCTTCACGAAATATTCTCGGGCGTACCTTCTTGTCATGTGCTCGAATCATTCGTTTCTGATAGATTTGACCATGGTGAATGGCTTTTAATCTCTTTTCATCTATCAGATTAAGCTGGTCATATCTGGATTGCACTCATTCTACGTCATCCAATTTAACTTCTGTCAAGACCCGTAATGATAGAATTTCTACTTCAATAGGCAGCACTGCTTCCATTCCATAAGCTAATGAAAATGGTGTTGCCCCAGTCGAGGTTTGTACTGAGGATCGATAAGCGAACAAAGCAAAATGCAACTTCTCATGCCAGTCTTTGTAGGTCTCGGTCGTTTTCTCCACTATCTTTTTGATGTTTTTGTTTGCTGCTTCTACTGTGTCGTTCATCTTTGGTCTGTAGGTAGTAGAATTGTGATGCTTTATGTTGAATTGCTCACAAGCAGCTTTCATCATTTTATTGTTCAAGTTTGTAGCGTTATCGGTAATGATCCTTTCAGGTAAACCATACCAACATATGATCTCTTTTTTCAAAAACTTGCAAATAACGGATTGAGTGATACTGACATAGGAAGCAGCCTCTACCCACTTGGTGAAATAATCGATGGCTACAAGGATGAAACGATGACCATTCGAAGCCTT